CTGTAGCCACTTCAAATCTAAAAAAATTCCCTCCTCAGTCTGGTTCAAAGGATGCCACAGGACGTACAGTATGTGGTGGCGTGTTCATCCAAAGGGACGACGCTGCCCTCAGTTATAAGCTGGGTGGAAATGATAACCAGCGGAAACTACTTAACATCACTAGCCTTAGGGTGCAAGTGTAAAAATTATAAAGTATTAAAACATTTATAAATTATTTTTTGTTTCGATTGTGCTGTAACTGTCTAGACTAAAAACTGATACAGATGGTCCAGTAAAGTTTTTATATTCTTTGACAGTCAGCTATACATTTTGTTTATGGTGTGGTTAAATACTGTCCCACTGCCATTAACTGAGTTTGATACACACAACAAACTGCAGATACTTTAATAATTGAGAGCACCTCGAGCTACAGCGATACAATTTTACCAGATATGCAATTTATGTTTGCACTTTTTCTGCAACATATCATGTTGCACTTTCAGGCAAAGTGATGGCATCTGCCTTTGGCTGATTCAAGAAAAATAGCCATATAGTTAGATGTGATCAGAAGAGTGGTGGTGGAACAGAAACTCAATATTCATTTGAACAAAAGGCAGAGACTTTTCCGGGACTTTTTTTAAACCAAAGGCGACAGGTTGTCCTACCTCCATGTCCATACTTATTATTTAGACATCATATCGCATGACATCATGACTTTCCATTATCTTCAAAAATGTACACCATGAGGTGCTGTTAGCAAAAGTACAATTTTCATTGTAGGATCCATTTAGTCACCTTACACAGCGATTATAATGAAAGTTATTCAACAACAGAAGAGTGTCTAACTTTACAGAAACTCAGAGCAAAAACATGTTTGCACAAGGAGACAGACTTTACAAAATATTGAAATTTACCCTACAAGAACTATAAACCGTGGAACCATGCCATCACTGTTATTACTTGGCTTATCGGTCAGTGATGGAAAGAGGTTTTTCAGTTAGAGTTTCTTACATCAATGGTATTTTCTCTCTGCTAGTTTAAGGACTTGTGAGCATTAGGAATGCTGTGTAATACTAGGTGGATGCTGTAGAAAAGAAAAGGGAATATGAAAAACACCGCAATGTAATGGTACCTGGGGTACTCGGTTTTATATTTCCCGTTAAACTAGTTTCTTATAAAAAAAATTTTTTTTTTTAAAAACACACCTGCAGTAGGTTCAAGTCAAGATAACTTATTGATATTAAGGTTGTATCATCCTTATAGCACGTAGAAAAAAATATATAAATATATAAATTAAATATAAATATATATCTTAGTCTTAATGTTTTGCTCAACTAAATGAAGTGTAAAACAGAACTTGGTGTCTCTGAACCTCAACAGTCATCAGAGAAGCCAAATTATGCTAACTTTTGTGTGAGCAGTTTTTGAGAGCTTTTTTTTTTCATCATCCTTGCCTCTTAAATTAAGTCCAACTATTAATTCACAACCTAAGAGTCTCCTGACAAAAGTACACTCAGGTGGTCCAACAGAAATAATTTTTATCAGGCGACACAGTACGACGACAGTTGAAAATGAGAAAGATATTCACTACCTTGCTCTGCCCTTTAAGTCATTTCCAAGTTAAAGACTGTGTATCATTATTCGCTTGAGCTCCACTTGTACAACACTGCCAGAGCACCCAAGCCACATCAACTGGAAGGGGAGGGGGGCCGTGTCGTTGGTGAGGTGGGGGATTCTTGGCAGAAACTCCCACTCAAATTGTATGCCAAGAGCAAAAATTGAAACCTTCTCTCATTTTCCTTTCCCCTTCATCCAATGTTTTCAAACCCCAGTCCCACCAAGGTCATTATAATCATAGCTAGTGGAAGGCAGCCAGTGACCCACCATTACAGAAAGGTAGTGAGCCACCCAGTCAGTAAACTATTGGCTAATGTCGCTTACCATATTTCTATCTAACAGTTGAAGTAGAAGAAAGCAAAATAGGGCTTCTCTCAGTACAATTTAGTGATTTTTTTTTAACCTACTGACAGTCATTTGGACAGTCAATACAAGGGCTTGAGAAAAAATAGGAGGTAATGTTTACTAAAGGGAAGAGAGCTTTTTAATGGTCATTTTGAATGGCAATGTATAAAGCAGTAATAATAATTTAGGTTGATGACATGTAACCACAAACCTAACATTTACATTCAAATACTTTAAGCCTTTCATCCTTAATAAAAACAACAAAACATGCAAACAATAACTTGCTGCAAGGTTATAAAGAATGGCACTTTCCACATCGGCACCAAAGATCATGTTTACTTGTCAATGTGAAGGCTCCATACTGTACCGTGACCTCCATTGCCAGCATATGTACCAAGAGACGCACACGCACACACACACACACACACACACAGAGGGAGAGAGAGGTTACGTGTACTGTACACTTTGTGCAAGCATGCACGCTCAAGGAATAGTCTCCTCTCACAAGCTGTGTTACAGACAATAGGACAATTCATAGTGGGCTACACAATCCATATATCTGAGTCTGTGGTAGGATAAAGCACCTCCCATATTAAAGCCAGTGTATTAGCTTGCCCTTTTCTACCACAGATGAAGAGATTTGAAGCTCGATATTGTGCCTGTTGGCTGGCACACCACCAGGGTGTCGTTGGCTGAATAATGAAAACACACAGACTGACAGAGAATGGCATGAGGTGACACTTCCATTCTTGAGTGGGAAGATACAAAACAAAGCACAAAAAGCTTCTGACAAATTTGTCCTTTTTTTGACGGTTTCTTGACGGAGGAGGAAACAACTCCTAAATCAGACAGCGCTTCCATTTAACCCAGAAACAACAGCACAGCAGTGGCCCTGTGCAGTATCTACATAGAAGTACAAACATACCCTGGATGCAGGCGTTCACATGAGCGCTTTCTCGATGCTGTAATTTTTATCTTACAGTAAGATAAAAAATTATAAGATTAAAGGAAAACAAATTTAATAGAACAATATAAAAATAAGAGTGAAAATGGAGTTACCTGCTGACTTGTAGGAATTTTTTAATTCATCAATTCAAATATTCACAATCTAATTCAGATTCTACATTGTTTGGCAAATCGTCTTTGATTTATATGGGGTTTTTATATGCAGCAAATTTCAATTTCAATATTTTCCTTAATTATAAGGGAAATTTCCACTGATTTGTAAATAAATTAACTTGTACAGAACTACAATGTTTTCAATGAAGTTCAGTGGAGTTTTAAAGCATGCCTCTGAAACGTGTGGCTGGCTTGACAACAGTCCTATCAACAAGAAGGCTACTAACAATTAATTTTAATACAAATTAAATGTCATGATGTCTTTGTACCATGGGACTAAACCAAAAAGAGCCCACACACATTGTACACAAGTCCACACAAAAATACTACTGGCTGAACCAGGATCAGAACCTGCGACAATGCCAATCACTAGGCCACCATGTAGACTTGGCCCACCACCCACACATTCCATTGCGGTACACACAACCAAACACACACACATTGTGTGAAAAATACACTCACGGTAACCTACTGCACCCACAGTCATCCAGTCGCCGACTCAATGTGCCTCGGCTAAACATTATAATCTACTAAGTTCAATCATAGGTCAAAGGCCTGAACTGAAGGGTCAGTGAAATCACTGTTAAAATGCATTTGTTTTAGGCTGCTGTAACAACTCTGTGAAGTGAAAATTAAAAAGTCAGGTAGGAAGCTGGACTCCCCTTTTTCCCCCTAAACATTTGGAAATGATGAGAAGGAAAATAATTGGATTTTTAAATAAAAATAAATGACAAAGTTATTTTTGAGAACTAATCATGAATAATGTTCTGTGGTCCTAAAGAATTAAAAAATAAATGTAAATGCAAACAATAATTACACAGATAGTAAATATACTTAACCATCTGCAAAGTTAAATGAGGTGACTTCTTACAGATATAGTAAAAGACAAAAATTCATTATCTAAAATGTGCCAGTCTTAAGATAATTTCTTGAAAATTGTCATTGCCTCTGACAAGCTGAGCCATCCCCTAGTGGGCACTGTATGTTACTGCAGTTTACCATTTTCTGGACTGATAAAGGCACAATGTGAACATCCAACATACAGAGGGTCAGATATGTAAAAGTAAGCAGACAATCTATCAAAATGAGCAGCGCGGATGTTGTGTTAGGTTTCTGCAGTGGTGGGACTTTATTGGCAGCAATGCAAATAGGCAGATTTGTCGTTTCTCTCCTCTAACCGTCTTATCGATCGGGTCTGTCTGCAATGAATGGCTGCAAAGGGAAGAGGGGAAAAACCCTGAACTTCAGGTGACCGACCATGGCTCTCGCATAGCCTGCATGCAGACTGGGAGGGGTAGAAAAAATACACTAGAAATGAAGGGGGGGGCACTCCCCACACTTTTAATGAAAAAGTCGTCGACAAACTAGCGCGAAAGAATTAGATTCTCTGGTTTCCAGCAGCAAAACTACGAGGTGAAAGTTGGACCTCTTCGCCGAGGAAATGAACTTTAGCGACCGTTGCTAGATAGCGCTGCTGCCGCCGCTGCTGCTGCTGCTAACCAGGAACACCAGGGTACAGGCAGCCAGACCCTGGCTTGTCTGATCCGACTGACCCTTCATTTTATTGCGGCCACACTCCCAGATCCTCCCCTTTTCTAACCGAAAAGCGACCCAGCGGAGGCGAACCCCGTGTCCGCGAAAACGCTTCGCCGTTATTCCTCACACGCACACAACCGACACATACGACAACTGACCGCAACCTTTAAACGGAACCAGACCTTTTATTGATGATACTCTTTATAAAGCCACGTATCATTTATCCACGCACTGCTTCGCTATCGTTGCCCATCGGCAACAACATGGCTGCCTCGCTCGGACCTAAAAAAAGGGAGAAATAACCTACGCCAACCCTTTTGTCTGTTTCACCTCTTTAACCCTAAACTACTGCGCAAAATACAAGGAGAGACGTTAAAATGGCACAAATCGAGTGAAGGACTTACGTGAAGGCAGGCGCTTGGGTTGCTCCTGCTTCCTCCTTGGCATTTTCCCCCGTTTTTAATCACATTCTCGTCCTTGTTTGGGGATAAGAAGAAAAAAGGTTTTGCCCATTGAGACTGGAGGCGCCAGTGATGGCAGGGACTCGGTCGTGCACCTGGCTTTGCTCGGTTTAAAGTGTATTGTTGGGGAAGGGGAACACGGGCTGAGGAGGCGCCGCCGCCGCTGTTGTTATTGCTGCCGTGTCTTGACTATGGCTGCTCTCGGTGCAAGTGTGTCTCCGAGCCCCTAACTAACACTAATGCAGGGATCAAAGGGCAGCAACAGCAGAGCAGACACACGCACACGCACGGCCACGCGTATACACACATACACACGCTCTCTCGCTCTCTCTCTCTCACTCACTCACTCACACACACACACACACAGGCACGCGGGCAGACACGCGCTTTCACACACACTGTGGCGTGCACGCACACAGTTGAAGGAGCTCGCGCCCGACGACAGCGTACAGACAAGGTGCCCCCATGCTTTCAGGGTGTACTGCTGAAAAGAAAATGTATATGAAAATAAGAACAGGCTGCAGTTCTGCACACAGACCACACTGATGGAGTCGAGTTACATTAACGGAGCCCGTTTAATTCCCCTGCATAAAAAAGGGGGGGATAAAAACATGAATAGCAATGAATATTTATATAAAGGATGCACATCTTAATGTACGCATCTGATATTTATCTAAAAATGTGGCCATAAAAATAAAAGCCCTTTATTGTAAGTTAAAGAAAAGGGACTGTTTGCAAATATAACCATTAGGTTAAATTGAACTAATCGATGTGTTTGAATATAAAATTTAGCATTAACATATATTATTGATTATTAATGTGCATGTATTTTGCATTTGCAATTATTTTAAATTAGATAGATAGATAGATAGATAGATAGATAGATAGATAGATAGATAGATAGATTTTAAACCTTAAATAAATATCCAATAACACTTCTCATATCACATATGTGGAGTAGACTGACAAAGCTGGTTAATTTTCATCATCGCCATCTACTCCTACCTCAACCTCTCACCGCTAATTTAGAAAGTACCTGCTGAGTTTTTACCTTTTGTCTATTAAAAGAACAGTTTAGAAAACAGGACACTGTGTGAGCACCAGTGGGTGGGGGTAACAACAGGTGTCAGTGTCAGAAACATGTCCAGCGAGAACATAACTCAATGTAGTCATCTCCTTCTCTAAGTTGAAAGACCAAAAGTGGCCAGAGCCGCATCCTCCTCCCTCTCAGCTGGGTGTTGGGGCTTTTTCACAGCGCAGGCTGTCCCCCACTCCCCGCTGTTGGACTCCTCCAGGCTGCATTCTGTTGGCCCGTCGCGTTCTTTCACACCTCGGCTGTGTGTGAGGAGAGCTGTGTCTTCATCCCTCCATCCTTCCATCCTCTAGTCCTCCTCCTCCTTCTCCTGCCATGCCTCACACCCACCCCCAGCAGAGGCACAGGAGGCTCGTTACCGTGGCAATTAGTGAAAAGCCCAAATTAGCGCTCTTGGCTGTCCACAGGTGACAAAGACACTTTGCATTTCTGCTAATTAGGAAACAGAACAACATGATTAAATGGGGCCTATCAGGAGAAGAATGCACAAACATGTTCTACAAATAGAAAAGAGTTATATATCTCTGTATCTGCTGCATGAAACGATGGACACATCCCATTAGGTCTTCTAATGCAGCCGTGGATAATGTTGGGTTGTGAATATTACAGTGGCCTAGAATACAGTAAAAAACAATTGACAGGGAGTTTCTGTGTGTGTACACAGCTGTGTTTCCCACCTGCAGATGGACAGTCCATGGACTGGTGCCCTGACCAAAGAGCGGATGAGCCGAGAGGGCTGTAAATATACGTCTATATGCCCCATGCACAAGTATATATGGTTGTGATTTAGTGCCAGTGCCCAGATAAGCTGGAAATAAATTGAAAAAGACATAAAAGCTGACTTAAGGAGCATATATAGATGCTTCTGGAACCACAACAGTTACCGTGTCTAGTAAATTTAGTACAGTGACAATTATTTTTGAATTCCACTAAAGTGTTAGTGTAGTGCAGCAGTGCTGGTGGGGATACAGTCCTAGGATGTCCACTCATGGGCCGCTCCATTAGGGACACCAAGCTAACTGCATGTTAAGTAAAAGTGATTTAATTGTCGTTGTGACATGGCACACAACTAAATTTGAACTTTTCACCTTTTAACCCAACACTTGTTCAGTGCACTTCCTTGGACCTTGGGGACTAGTGGATTCAAACTGTGACCTTTTGGACCCAAGTCCGCTTCCTTAGCCACCGGGCCTCCACTGGTGGTTGGGGGCGGGGGCCATATGGTGGCATGGTGTTAATTAGTCTTGTCTTACAAAAAGATCCCCTGTTCAAGTCCTGGCTCTAACTCGTGCCCTATAGAGTTGCATAGTGAAGAGGACATCAAGACTGCTTTACGTGCAGGAGGTCCTGGGTTTGAGCCCCAGTGAGACCACTAAATCCTCCTCATTTAAATTGCTCAGGATAAAAGCATCTGCTATACATCAATACAAGAATGTAAATGTATTATCATTGATACCACATGATGGACATGATAGAATACTGAATGCTGCTCAGATGCAAAAAGACATAAATGTGAAGCTAAATCACTATATATTTTCTATTGTCATTTTTATGTAGTTTTACTTCCAGTGTGACAATTTCCACCAAGGATTTACAGAAATAGGTACTTCTAGTTTTTTTCCCTCGGTAGTGTTTTTGTTCTGTGTTGAGTTTGATCACCATGTGGAGGTCAAAGCCTGTTCCCTGACCCTGACAATGCCAGGCGGCTGAGGTAATGCTGGCAGCAGCAGCAGTCTGCTGATAGTATCCATGGCAACAGTGACATGCCCTAACTCAGGGTTGTTCCTAAAGGTCATGCCACATTGCTCAAGGGATAGGTCCTCTTGCTATAGTACCAGTGGTAGCTCTCAGATTTCCAGGCTAGAGCAGCCCCCCCCCCCCCCCCCCCCCCCCCCCCCCCCCCCCACCCACCCGATAAGCTCACTAATAATATATTATAAGTGCTCTGAATGGTCACCGCTTCTTGAACCTGGGATTGTTTTTTGCTCCTCTTTTCAATAACTTGTACAGATACCCCGCTTTGAAAACAGCTCATTTTGTCAGACGACATTATTACTACTTATTTAAATAGTTCCCAGTAGTGGCACAATTGTTAGTGGGAGCTAAATGAGTTTCAGGTGCTACGGTGGGAAGAGAGGAGCATACTGCAAAGAAATGAACTAAGTTGCTTATGTGCCTTCAGGGCAAACTGAACATCCTCCAGTTGCTTTTTTTTTTCTTTTCTCTGCTCCTCTCTGCTCCTCTGTTCTCCCTGTGCAGGCTAGACTGTTTGGACTAACGTTAGGCTCAGGCAGTCAGATGTTGCCCTGGGGTAAACAGAAACATCTGTCCTCTGCCCAGCCGTGACTGTCGCTGAGTGATAAATCCTGGGGTGGCTTGTGCCAGCGCTGTCCGGCGTGCCACCTGTCCCCCTCCTACACAATATCCCATACCCAACCCCTACCCATACACACTGTTCACCCTATTTGCACTCGTCTGCCTTCATCCTGACAGTGTGACAGAAGCAGGTGGTTCACTCCCCCTTTGCCCTCTGGCCTTCTATGCTCTCGTCCTCGGTTGGCACATTTATGCAGAGAGTGAGAAGGGTTGTCGCCTCTAGCAAATACCAGTGGAGAGAACCCTGTATTCAGCAAAGGTCTTGAGGAACTGAAAAGCTTATTGCAGTCATTTCCTTCAATCAGGCATAAAAAGAAAATCCTGCAGATCCGATAAGGTAGATTTCACAAAGGTCAAAAATTCGCAAAGTAAAAAAAAAAAAAAAAGACTTGAAGGAAGAAAAAGCTGGACGATGACTTAAGTGAAAAAAATATTTTTGGCACAGATTTTAAGGATGTTCATGATTATATTGTAAATTCAGCTGCCAGTGAAAAGCACACACATTGTCTTTATCTTCTTCCTGACCTGCTCCTGCTTCCTCTCTATGCTCTACTACTTTTACTAGTGACAGAGGCAGGTGGCCAACTTCCTGCCCTCTGACCTTCAACAGTTACCCGCAGTATGGAGACAGTGCAAACACACAAAGCCGTGCACACACACACACCAACACAGAGGAGGAGCCTAGGTTGCCCTGGGTGAACTGGGGCAGAGGTCTTGTGAAAGGCCCTGGAGGGAAGTGAAGGTCCTCAGGCTCAGGGACATGAGTTACTTCAGTTTGCAGAGCCAAACCTGACTGGCTGAATGATCAGATTTAGAGAGGAGATAAAACCAAGAGTCCAGTCTAACCAAAACACTTGCCTAGAGTACAATTTCCACAAAGTCCCATAAACTACTACTACTAACTAGAGATATTATAATGAATGTGTTATTTAAAACAAAAATTATATACTATAACGACTATAACGATTCCATCATTCATCCAACTGTTGCTCTAATACAGGGTCCGTACCTTTGGTGTCTGCACACACTGAGGGAAAACATTTGGTTTCACAGATGCACCAGGAGCTCAGACTACCATCTCCACTCCCGGCGTGTGTTTGTGTGTAGAGGCTTCAACTTCAGGTCAGACACCCAGCCTATAACAAAACAGCCTGAAAAACAAGAGGGCAGTAAGTTAGTCTACAGCTGACAAGATAACTGACACAACTGTCAAATGGATAGTGAGAACCTGAAGTCTGATTATTATTGTTGACCACAGCGGTCAGTTCAGTCAAGTTCTGAAAGAGACTTCTGACGCAATCTACTGGCCCCCGTCAAGATGATCAATACTGACTATAATCCATCTACGGTTATAATTTTTGCATATTTTTCTTAACATTTTCCCATCTTAATTATCCCATTATTTCTAATTTGTGGTAAACCAGATTGAAAACGACTGACAGCTCTAGTCTTTTTTCTTTTTGTTTACAAAAGTAGTTAAAAATGTAGCTACTACTGACTACTCATCTACCCAGATAAAGGGTGAGACCATTGAATATTGGGAAAAATCTTCAAAACCTGACCTACTCTATCAGCTCTAGTGTGGACATTTCAGTGGTCCTATATGATTTACATGTTTGTTTTATGCCTGTGTGTGTGTGTGTGTTAGTGTACTTGGTCCCTGACTGATTAATGTCACTTCATATTGTAATGGAGCATGCTGAACACGTACTGATATCAGTAATGTGTTACCAGTCTCAGTTTGATTTTATTGCCATGGTCTAATAGGATATTGCCACTATCACAATTTGGATTAACTTCAGTATCGCTACTGGTAAACCCATTGTCTGTATGTGTGCACGCTCGCAAATGATCGGGAAAAGATGAGGGAGAAACTATCAGGGTGGCCTGCCTTGGTCTATTAATTTCACATTTGGTTGCTTCTTCATAATGCACATCTTATATCTGTCAACACAATAGCTTTCCTTCAGCTACAGCAGCTACATTAGTTTTCCTTCTTGATATTACTGCTGTTTTAAGAGAGGGATCCGTCTGTGTTTGCTAAGCAGTATTCTGTGCTGGTAAATGCCGTCATTCTGCGTTTAGGTACACACACATACACAGCCCCACTGGTATAATGAAAACACACATAAAGAGGTCTAGCATGCTGTTGTACAAACATGTCTTTTTGTCAATAGGAACTATATGCAGAGGAGCTGCCCTTGCTCTGTGAGTCCTTTGTCTCCCCACATCCCCAAGCTCCACCTCCCTCTCAGGCAGCCCGTCCAATGGGAGAGCCTTCAGGTGTTGACCTTATCGGGTGGAGGTCAAAGCCGGGTCAGGGATCTGTTGCTAGGCTACTATCAGATAAGTGGCTAGTGTAGGCAGCAGTGGGTATCTCTGTCATTCAGGGCTTGTCATGTAATCTTGTTCATTTGGAGACAATTGTCAGCACGTCAGAAAGGCTATCTGGCCCATACTGTTGTAATGAAACACATTAAAATATTAAAACCAGCCATGCTGAGAATTGGCAGCTACACTTGGCACATGCCTTCTTTTTACACCCATGCCAACTGTCATGCAGTAACTTGAAACCTTGCAATTCTGGTGTGCGGCTGGTTGTTAAAAAGAAGAGAAAAGCTTGGTATTTATTTTAGTTTTTTTTTTCCAAAGCCACTTGGTTTTCATTTGATTTTGTAAAAAATCTTAATGAGTGGACGTTCCACTACAAAAAGTAGTTTCACATATAAAAACGTAGTTATTGCGTAATCATGTTAATTGGTGTAAACTTTACTAGATTTTAAAAATATGGCACTGCCCTGTAGGAAGAACAGGATGTTAAAAGTATTTATAACATTTGACAAATTGCCATTAAATACAAATGAGTAATTTAAACTCGGTGCTAACAGTGAAGCACTCAAATTAAATACAAATGAGTAATTAAAACTCGGTGCTAACAGTGAAGCACTCACACCTTTCTTCGTCTGTGCATGCATTTCCTGCAAATGCTCTCCATAAATAAATACATGAATGGCTCATGACTCATTTAGTGGTACAGGTGGCAAGGCATCTTGTTGTTTTCTAACCTATAACCTTTATATTGAGTACAAAGAGTTCTAGAGCAGTCTGTATGAAGACGGGGGAGGCAGGGTAGTAGGGAGAAAAAGAGAGAGAGGGAGACAGAGAGAGAGAGAGAGAGAAGAGTTGTTGCATCTTCACACAAACATGGTCTGTTCTCCCACTCTGCCATTCCACCACCTGGACTGAACTATCTGCGAGTCTGCGCCACGCAGTGATAAACGACACCAAACAAGACAATTTCTGCTCACACTGTGGGTCATACGGAGTAGGACGAGTTGACACAGCATCTGTGTCATATCACGGGTTCCTCTTTGGAAACACCTGCATTTTGTCAATGTCATCCTCTTGGCCGTTCAGGTCAATGTGAGGAACAAGACCTCAGACTGTTAGACGTACCGAGACCTAGATAAGGCACGTGGCAATTTATCCATGCCAGTCCTTGCACTGTAGCTTCAACATGGGATCTCGTCTGTTAGATTGGCGCATTGTGAAAAGAGGTTCTCAGTGTCTGGGCGCTTGCCAGCTGACATTCCATGGAGACAAATTGAGAGAAAGACTCCGGCAGATTTATCGGGCCATTGGCTCGCCTCAGGAATTCTCTGGTAACATGGCACTCCTGTGAAAGGGATAAAGAAATTAGTGTAAAACAGTCCTTCCCCACACCCCTTCTCACAGCACCTCACGCAGACAGCTAGAAGTATCGAGCCAGACGTTCAGCACACATGTGAACGCCTGCTTTTTTTTTGTCAAACATGTGGACGGACACCAGGCAGAAGTGGCTGAGCTCAAGTCCTGTTATTTCTATGAATATTCAAGAAGGTGGGCAAAGGAATGTTGCTGTACTCTGGCTGGTTGAGTCACAGGTCCTCTGTGGCAGGATGAGCTGCTGGTCAAATGACAGAGAAAAAGAGACAGAGAGGGAGAGAGAGAGAGAGAGAGAGAGATGCGAGTGCGAGTGTGTGTGGGATTCAAAAGGAAATGCTCCTGGCTGTCTTGGATATTTATTCCTTTCTAAAGCAATGAGGTGTTTGGAGAAAGGGGCCAGCTATGTTCTTTTTGCTACAGCCGGTGCAGGGAGCATTCTTCTACACTTGCTTTACAACAGTCAGTCAAAGTGGGAACATGTCCTCAACCTGACCTGTGTTTTACAACTGAGTGACTTTCTACAAACGCTCCAGATTAAAAGATTGTTAAAACACACTCTGTGACCTTCCCATTAAATATTAATACAACCATAGATTGCTATACATACATATATGTATATACATACGCCATAAAATAGTGAGGATAAATAATGAATTACTTGTTTAACCATCGCTGTTGGAAAGCCGTATCTTGGTTTTGCATACGAGCGAGACGTAATGCCATCCTCTATATCATCTGTCAGCATCTAGAGGTTATCTGCCAAGTTGATGAACAGAGGGATTGGCTATGAAACACAAGGTGTGACAGTGTGGCAATATGTTATAGTATGCAAGCAGAGCTCATCAGGAAAGAGAGGATGAGCGGCTTTGTTCCAAATGTCACGATGCATATTTATGGGTGCACTGGAGTGGCTCCTTGTATAAGTGCTGTTCACCATCTATCAGGCAAAAACACTACAGTGTCTCTTTGACTGAGTCGGTAGGGTAGGATTTTGTGACAAAACTCGAAGAATTTGCCCAAAGACTGAAGCTCCATTACTCTGTAAAACTGACACTGTGGCAGAAAAAGTAAACCGGTGTTAACAATGTTAATATTATTCTCACACAAGCCATACATTTAGGGAGAAAAATGAAGAGACAAAGATGTTAAAAGGAAGTGAAGTAGGGAAGGTGACATGGACAGAAGACGGTTAACTGAACACAAGCAGAGCCCCCTGGAAAATCCACTGAGCTCTCTCTCTCTCTCTCTCTCTTTCTCCACTGAGGAGGTTCTCTGGAGAGTTGTGCGCCGGTTGTTAGTGCTCGGCCGCACAGCACAGAACGGACAGTCTGACTGTCTGCAGTGCCTCTCCTTGGGGAAAGAACATGGCTTCAGGGCTGTAGCTGATTCGAGATGGTCCCAGAACAAACCCCTAGGGGACACCAACCAGGCAGAATGGCTCCACTGAACTTCTCTTTTCTGGGCTTTTTGCAAGCAACGAAACTTGGTGTGTGTGAGGAGTCAGAACAAGAGGAGGGCTTTCATCTCGACTGCTCAGTGGCTCAGCAGATTTCCTCCAAATTACAGGCGGTGATTACAACCCACCCTGTCTGCCTTGTGCCATCCCCTCGTCTCAGCATGGGGCCTCGGGCCAGCCAACCACTGTCAACTGTCAGTGCTCACAACCGATTCATTAAGAGTAGGATGTCATTGGTGTGGAAATAACAGGGATCAAAATCTAAAGCTAACAGACAGTAGCCGTAGTGCTCTTTGTTCAATCGTTGTAGTTTGGTGCAGTGACAGATCTGACTTGTTTTTGGGGACCAGACTTGCTGTACGGACCTCCATTCAATTCTGATCTATCAAATACATCATTCTTTATCATATTTGTTCGTAGCTTTAGCAGCAAATTATCACATGAGACTAACCTCTGTTGCCCCCAAACCAACAGATCCAAAAATCCAGCCACGCAGCAAATGTCTCCTCAGCACTTTTTTTCACATCACTTCTAAGCTATTACCTCCCATACAGTTGGGGATTACTGTGTAGCAAGAGTGAGGATACTCTGTCTACCAGCTGTTGTTTTATTTGAAAACTCCCTCAAGCTTTTCCATTATCCGCTCCATATCGAGCTTGACCTGAAGAGAAAACCTGGCCTCGCAAGGGTCAATGCAGTCTAGACTTTACTCCTCCTCATCCTGCATTGCTGAGCACCTCCTCCACCACCACCACCACCACATATCCAGCATATTGCTTTGGATACTGGGATGTGCCTCCTCCATCTTATTCCCTCTCACCTTGAGCCTGTACCTCAGTTGGTCCAGTTTCCCATTTCCCACCTACAATAGCATAGCCTGTCACCATAATCTGTCTATTTCACCAGCCCTCCCATTGGGGTTAGGGGTCAGAAGATGAAGATGGGATTTGTCTTTCACTTGACAGCTCTGCTGCTGCGTTTTCCCTCTTGTACTGGATGGACGGACCTTTTGAAACAAATTCCCTGTCTGTCTAGTCCACAACTGGTGGGTTGTTTATGTGCTGGTTCCAAAGTACAGAATATAAGATGAGGAAAAACACAAAATGGTAATAATGGTCGCCTACATTTAGTAAAGATGGCACACACTAACATACACAACACTGACTTTACTGCCACAAAAAATATTAATTTAATTTAATATATTTTGGATATGTACTCTAATTAAGGCAGAAAAAACAACATGACATCTTATGTAAAATTGATGCAAAACTGTAATAATTTCTGTCATTGTTTTAATTTAATCTAGGGCTGTCAATTGATTAAATTGTGTTACGTGATTAATCATAGGATAAATATTAATTCATCAGGATAATTCATGATTAGTCACCAAAAAAACAATTGCTGAAACAGAATAATTGGGTATGCAGTACAGTGTGTGTCATTATATGTGTGCATTTACAATTCTAATATGATTCATTTCACAAATTAATTTGGGTGGTTAAAGCCCTAATTTGAACCAAGAATAAAAATCATTATTTGTCATCTGTGGATGTTCTCCAAGTAAAATGCCCAGAGTCTCTAAACCTGTTCAACATTTTGCTGCAGTCTTAACGTCTTCTTATTGCCTGCATATTTACCTGCAGTGTATTAAAAACACCATCAAATATAAAGACGATATAAAGACGCTGTGGCTGTAGATTTAGATTGGGATGCTTTCTCTCTATTAAACTAAAAATGTTCATTGAATTGAAAATAAAAATAAAAACAATGCACCTTTTGTTCATACAATTAAAATCTAAAATCTGACTGTTCAGATACGTACACAACAATGTGGAAAATTGTCAAAGCTAGAGTAAACAAGTCGTTTTCTACTATACAACACCCCCCTCCCCCACCCCCGGTTTTATGACAAAAATAACTTGTAAATGTACCGAAGAACACAAAGGCCATGTTTTCAGACTACAAAAACATGCTGCATATTTTTTTTCTTTTGTGAAATTTCTTTAAAAGCCAGCAACAATGAAGGTAACCGGGGACAAATGAAGAGGAAAAAAAAGATCTTATTGAATATTCATTAACGGTTGCCTAGGTGTATACATGGCTCTTAACCACTCTTGTTTATGACTTAAGGACTTGTAGTACTGACCTTAGTTTAACACAGCAGCAGATACCAAATTAACCTCTAGCCTCCACAGGGCTAGCCATGCCCTGCTAACAAGCAACCTGTCTAGACACACAAGTACTTTATGATTCCACCTTTCACAATCCCTCTTCCTCTCCCTGTCTCCTCCTCACAACCTCTCTGTCTCTGTTAACACAAACTAACATAGCTCTCCCCCGTCTCCCTCCTCCCACCTTCCCTGTGTTCTCTTTTGTCTTTCACCTCACCATTTCAAAACTATTTCCCACTACATCATTTTTCTTGTAGCTCCCAACCTGTGCAGTGTTTGGGTCATGCACCCAGCAAACAGTTTTGTCAGGTGGTAGATTTTTTTTCCCTGCAAATAAATACACTTATCGTTTTCTCTCTCTCTCACGCACACACACACACTCACACTTTCCCCCGATGCTTCAGTGGATTGTATGAAGTAACAGTGATTTCCATGGGTACTACCAGGGCCATGTGGTTTTGTCCGTCATGACAGCTTGAGGTTGAAGTCAAATATCTCCACAGGGCTTAACAGTCATGCACATAGTTAGTTTTCTCACAATATGTTATTGTTTTTTTTTCAATTATACGTGTTGCCTCTGTTCAAATTTTTTGATAGTGTTTGTTTCTTCATAGTTACATAGACAGCCAATGCCAAATTGTTGATACAATTTCACAAAATAGTTCAAAACACTTTTCAATTCCAAATTGTTTCTCCATCCAAGATTGATCGTTTCTACTGCAGGTATACAGTAATCCAAACAATTAACCTCACATCAGTTATCTCATGTGTCCAACAAAAAAGACAACACATCAGACTCACATTGTTGTTTAAATATGTACTGAACTCGAATAACTGATCAATACATTGGCTTGTGTGAATAAAGTGCTCACGGTTATTTGTAAAAATTTTGTTGTTATTGTTTCTAGTTGTTTATGATTATTTGTAAAAAAAAAAAATGCTTTTGTTGTTATTGTTTCTAGTTGTTTAATTGTCTGTGAATTAATAAAATAAAATAAAAAAATCCCCAAAGAATTCCCACTCCGTTGGGTAAATTCCCCAAAGAATTCCCACTCCGTTGGGTTTTACACACAGTCAGACACAGTGTTCTTCCTTAAATCATATCGCACAACCATTGACGCCGCGTTATGACTATTGTTTTACCTGAACCGGCCACCGTACTTTGCTCTTCACTGATTGGCTCTTTCCATCACAATCGTTTGACAAACGTTAGCCGGGTAAGTAAAATGCTAGCAACCATGAGTTACCGAAGACTGAAATGATTCAAACAAATGTTTCTGCAAGGACCTAATCTCGACCTGATAGCACTCAAAGTACACGAATTTACTAAAGATAAATACCGCGTCAACTTCATTGTTTTCTAAGCATATTTAGAGTATTTATCAATTGGCAGCGTTTTGTGGCTAGCGGCTAATGCTACATGCGCGCATCAAAATTATGTTGTTTTTTGGCAAATGTGTTTGTGGTAATGTTAAAAAATATAAGGAAAATTAAACCAATACATTGAAAAAGAAACCACAATGTTTTGAAGGTTATACCTTTTGACGATGCATATTAAAAGCCCAACTTCGACTGGGAAGACGTTTTGTAATGTATTCTTTGCTTACAGATAATCGCCAACATGAGTCTGAGAAAGCAAACACCAAGCGACTTCCTTAAACAGATTATTGGGAGACCTGTGGTGGTCAAACTTAACTCGGGTGTTGATTACAGAGGTAATATGTCACAACACTTACCTGATTTCTTTAATAAGGATTATTTAGTGTTGCATCCGTCCTACCAAACTCTCTGACACACATTGAAGATGTCTGTTAACTTCACAGGTGTGTTGGCCTGCTTGGATGGTTACATGAATATTGCCATTGAGCAGACAGAGGAGTATGTTAACGGGCAGCTCAAAAACAAGTATGGAGATGCTTTTCTAAGAGGAAACAATGGTAAGTCAACACATGTTAGTAGAAGTAATATAGGGCATACCTAGTTAAATTACAGGCACATTTAAGCATCCAGTTAAATCATAATAGGACTCCAGCAGTTCCATGGACATTGTAACATTACTGAAAGGTTCTGTGTGACATCACCAACAGGTTTTTATGAGAGAGATGTCAAATAGTAATTTGGCAGTAGGTAAATAGAGATGTCAAATAATTTGTTAATATTTGAATTGATTTTTACACTCACAGTTTTACATTTGTTATATTTATTTAAGCCACCTAAATTACTTGCATAACATTAAAGTAACAAATTAAATTACTTCTAACCTGTAACCTTTGGTTGTTGCTAAATTTTAATCCTTGGTCTGATTTTATTTTCCACAGTTCTCTACATCAGCACCCAGAAGAGGAAAGTGTAAAGGAGATTTTTTTTAATTTATTTTTTTTCAGTATTTGATGCAAGCCTAGGCGACTGTCTTGTGATTTTGGTTCTGTAAAGCTCGAATTCATGAAAAACATTTGATTTTGTAAAAGTGAAATGTGTTAATAAACTCCTTGTTTTGACCTGTGTTTTGATTTACTGTTCGTTTCTTTTCAATATAGTTGAGTTTTAATGGCAAAGGAGACGTGGGCGAATACTTCATATTCAGGCTCATTAATAGTAATATAATAACAGGTTAATTTAAAAATATCTGTAAAGCTTTTTTATTGCTATGAAATCTGAACCTTTTTTTTTTCTGAGTGACTATTCCTGGAGCAGACAGAAGTACCAAATCTACTACTGTTTTATTATTAATCAAGGATTTAAAAAGGATTAGTGTATAATATTTTATCTTTTTAGATTAATGTAAAGCTGAAAAATGTAATTAGTCTTCATATGATTGCCTTCAGAAACAAACTACACTTCATTTACATGCACAAATGTAATAATATATGAAAATGATTTGTCGGCACTAAGGTCATCAGATTTTCCCAGTGCTGCTGTGGGCACGTTGACTTGAATTAGATCGACTTACATCACAGTCCAACATCAGTCTGATATTATACTGGAGGAGTGTGGTTGGTAATAAGATAAGTAAGAGGCTCAGAACACTGACTGTCAACAGAATACTATTACTGATGTTCAGGGACTGTGCTCAGCTGATGGCCAACAATATCTGTCTGTCTTTGTTTAGCAGATTTCTTATTAATCTAGCTAATAAAAGGGAGTGCAGTTATAACAGATGTACAGTTGTACTTTGCATTTGAAAATATGTAAATTAAAATTGTGATAAGAAAAATATATTCTGGCGTGAGTTTTGAGCATAGACGGTCTACAGAAAGTAGTCTACAAAAACACCATTGATTCTGTGTTAGTCCAAACTGCTTTTCTGAAATAAAGGACCAATACTATACCATACTATACTACTGAGGCTTTTTTTTTTATAAAGACATCAGTGCAGCCATGCTACTATGTCTCTGCAGTCAGTAGAGTCCTCACTTAACCTGACGCCTGCCCCAGTTTATGAAACGACCTCAGTACCTTTTTTTTGACACTACAATGTTAATCAAACTGAACTCGAACACGTGCAAAGTAAATTTTTACCTCCTGCTGGTCATTCAGACATTCATGACTAGGTGTGACCACAGGGCTACATTATAAATGATGCCACCTGCAGGTTTTGTGTGGCTGCATTAACATGCCAGCGGATGTACAAGATTGAACCCAGTGCCCTTGTGCAACAGTCCTCCATGTTTTACTGCTCGTGAATGTCTGAGAGCGTGCAGCTTACATTCTGTCATCTGAAACTGCACATTAACGATCTTTGTTCTTGTGAACGGCTCGTGGCATTTTGACTCGTGCAGATGAACATGATGGGTTGGTTTTTTTTGTTGTTGTTGTTGCGAGAATCAAAGAATTACAATTTTATGTCGTTTCAGAGTGTGATAATTTAGCAAATGAGTATAAAAGAGGCATCACCCCATTACGCTAGGATATGAATGCTATAAATATATGATTCATTAGACTCTTAATGAGAGAGCGTTAGTGTGGATGCTGTGAAGGGAATTCTTTGCCTTCCAAGGGTGGATTTTTCAGAGCCTTGTTTTTCCACCCGTACATGCGCACTCTGGCCCCTGGAAAGAGACAAAAGGCTGCCAAGGTCAAGCCCGACTTGAGAATGAAGGACATGTTATTGATCAAACTCTGCTGAGCTGCAGCTGTACAGAAGGGGATGTTGAGGGGGATTGAGCTGCAATGCACATCCGCATGCATTCACTCACACACACACATACACACTAAGGTAGCCACTGAGTGATGTGTACACAAACGCATTGTACACAGTGCAGCACACAAAGAATCATTATGGCACCTAGTGAGGGTTAGTACAGGCAAATATTTACCCACTGGAATCATAACTGAGCCGCTGGCAGTGTGGCCTCGCAGGGAACCTAATTAATACCATTCAGACAAATGACCTGGTGGCAGGCATCATGATATTGAACCATGAGCATAAAAAAGGAAGAAGAACACCCCCCCCAACAAAACACTGAACTCATCAAGTTGCTCATGTTCTCATCCTGCATGTGGATGTCAACACAAGGTATTGATTTCAGCCTTCCAGATCATTTCCAAGCTAATATCTTTTCAGTCGGGATCATTACGGAGAATGAATCTGATTAATTTGTGATACCAGGCTTATTTAATGTCGCTGTTTTTGTTTTTTGAGGGGGGGAGGGGGTTGCCTGATTTATCTGTTTTGATTTTTGTTTGGAGGGGGGGAGGGGGTTGCCTGATTTATTTTTTTCACTCAAAATTCCCATTTCTCGACGCTTAGTGTCGTTCATGAGAGTCACTCATCAGCACTCCATCAGAGCAGACTGTGGAGGATGCTGTAGTGTCTCAGTGTTGACGTAGGGAGGTGAGTGATGGAGGGGAGAGGACAAAGGAGGATAGGAGAGGTGACAGTCTCGTTATGTAGGAGGTAAAAAAAAAAACAGGCAAAGGGGAGACTCAAGGCTTACAGCACCACCACCTGCCAGAGTGACAGAACTGCAGTGGCTATACAGGGGCATGAGGGAGGAAGGAGGGAGGAAGGGAGGAGAGACAGAGGAGTATGACTTTGGCCCTGACTGATCACTGCAGCATGACTATCTAGGCTTTTCACAGGGGATCACAGGATGACAAGGACAGCGGGTGACCATCAGAGTCCGGCTCTTACACGTGCTCATTTGGAGGACATCACTCTGCCTTGACAGGAAAAATGCATTAAGAGCATTTTTGTGTGTGTGTGTATGGATTTATTTGACAGTTTTAATTAAGAGTCTACTGTTAATCACAGAGTTTGTATTTTCACCAGGGTCAATGTTAATGTGAAGAGGAGTCACGCAGTATGGCATATCTCCATAATCAAACTTTACATCACAGTTAAACATCCAATGTGGGAAAAAAATATCCATACAGACAACTGAACGAAACAAAATGGAGCAATAAATGAGCTAAACTCTGGAGAGGATTCAACACTTACACTCACGCAAGTCAGAGGTGCCCAAACATGGGTCCACGGCCAGGGTCTGGGGGTCACACTGTACTGGGCTGGAGAGAGAATAATACAAAAACATAAAACAAAAAGTTAGTAATGTGAAAAGACATTTTATTTTGAAAAATGACCATATTTCTCCCAAGTGCAAAAGACTGACACATGTCAAAAGGGTTGTCAGAATAAAAGTCCCGGAGACGGACAATATTTTCTTGAATAAAATAAAAATAATATTTAGAGTCACATTTGAAGTACAGAACACACCCTAACCTGAAATCTCCACTGCCACTATACATGCATTTAAAAGAGTTTATTACAAAGAAGTACACACCACTGTTTGAGAACTGCAGATCTCCACTGCCACTATACATGTATTTAAAAGAGTTTATTACAAAGAAGTACAGTCGATGGGTGGCTTTCATGAAAAAGAGGCTGAACATATGGTTCATGTAGACAAACCTCTCTTGCCTAACATCTTCACAAGACCTTTGACCTAGGGCTCCCTGACATAGGATGGAACATTACAAAAACAAAAACAAGTAAGGTACCATCCTCCTATCTTCACAAGACCTTTGACCTAGGGCTCCCTGACATAGGATGGAACATTACAAAAACAAAAACCACAAATGGAGAACATAAAGAAAAAATATAGAGTTAGTAAAGATCATAGAGGGTTGTTAATAGAGTTAGTAAAGATCATAGAGGGTTCCCATAGTACCTGACTGAACCTAAACAAACCAAACTCAAGTAGAGAATTTGAAGCACTACAAACCCATACATGGACTACATCATGTAATTGGTCAACCAAAGGAACTAAAGGTTGCCATATGATCAGAGGTTAAAATATAGGCCAAGTTTACTGCACATTTTCAAACAGCTCCTATTAGACTGGATTGATTCATTAGTAGTTACAAATACAACAGTAATTTAACACACAACCTCCAGGTGTCTCTTATGAAGGTAAAGGTGAGAACGACGGTTACATCACAGGTTACATCGCGTTATAATTAAAATATCGTGTATTAAATCTGAACACATTTGGACTCCGTTAAACTGAGATCAAATCGAACGCATCACACGACCTTGTATCCCCCTTGCCCGCGTGCACAGATGTAATTAGCGTTTTACTTTTGCATGTGTAAGACGGCCTCCTGGCTCACAGTGTACTGGGACGTGTTCTGTCCTCCGTGAACTTGACTGCCTCTGACCTCAGCCTGACAGCCCCGTCACGTGTTTAGGATGTAAACGACGGCCGTGACCTCCACGCCCTCTGTCTGCGCTCTCACATTCCACCGGCTGGGTCACAGGTCCTGTTACGTTACTGCAGAATAAACAAACACCTTGGAAACAGCTTAACAATGACAGGCTGGAAGTGAACGCAGCTGCTACTCATTAATGAAGGAGCACTCTTTGTGTGTCTGTCAATTCATCAATGGTCAATCTAAGAAAACATGTACGGATGGCTCTGCTGCAGCCGACTTTTACTGAGCGTGTGCGTCCGGATGTTTACTGACCTTTGCTGTTGTCTTTTATTGATGTCATTTCAAGTTCAAATGTGATTGTGTTCAGTCTTAATGGATGTAGCGGTCCGTGCTGCTCTACAAACCCTGGGTTCTTTATTTAGCCCGTGCAGAGGAGAGCTGACCTTGGCCAGAAACGTGACCCCTGACCTTCTTATCTGAGAGAAGCTATTCCCAGACTGGACCAAAGCTTTTGTGGTTTATCTGAGTCTCAAATGGTGGTGAGGTGGAGATGGTAAGGTCGGGTGGGAGAGCGGGAGGTGAGGGGGGGGGGGTGGTGGCATACGTAGGTACCAACTGGAGGGCAGAGAGCGGGGCTGTTGCATTCAGAGGGCATTAGTTAGGTATGTCCTGCACCGACATAAAGAGGTGAAAGACACGAGCCAGAAACACCCTGATATACAGTACAGTGACACGGACCACGTGAGGCCTTGACCTTTGCCCCAGAGGCCTCTCCAGTTTGTTGCACAACTGTTGGTTCTGTTTCGGACTCACACCTGCCTGATATCTATACAGCATGTAAACCACACTG